AAATTTTACTCATTTTTGTGGCCCATTTTTGTACTCTCATCGACCATGGTCTATTTAAAAAAAATGGTATTAACTCACCAGGTGGATTTTCCATTAAATACTTGGTTTTTGGCATAAGGGGTACTGGAGATCTTTCAATCATGTACAGAGTAATTCCTAATATGAATGAAAATAAACAAGACACTCCTGTGATAAATAATACATAATAGCCAATAATTTTCACTATAAGAAGAAATTTTTTTACAAAAACCGAATATTTTGAAATAAGTATAAACAAAGGCTACTTAATTTTTAGTACCCCAACTAATTCCCGATCTGCCACATACATATTTAGTCTCTTTGTCATACAAATAATTTTTAAATCGCCTCCATCGAGATTCGTGAGGACCTGGAGCGGTTCTTCTAGAGTAGTAAGATGATGTGCCAGAATTTCTAATAGATTGAGTGATTCTTTCTTGACTTGTCATGCTGCTATATTTTTTTCTTAGGAAAATGTGGAAAGTTGAAACTGAAAATGTTCATTATTCCAAATCACCCAAAAAAAATACATATTTCTTAGTACTCTAAAAAAATTACTTTTTGCACAGGAATTAAACCTTACATTAAACGTAAAAGTGTAAAAACCCACCCCAATCAACAAATACAAATTTCTCATCGCTTTGTACATATGAATGAAGTATGAATTATTTAAGCTGTTTTACTGATAAGCAAGGATACAAATGTTCATTCTATAAATATTTTTGGTTTGTCAATATGACAAATAACAATAAAATTATTTTACAACTAATTTTGTCATTCAGTTTTAGTGGAGAAAATTAAAATATTTCAAATTAATACATTCAAAATTAGCATTAAATTTTTCTGCGTGACTTTCTGTAATACTTTATCAATTAAATGCATATGGAGGGAAATATTTAAATATTGTATTGCAAGTAGATAAAATAGGTTTGCAAAGTTAAGCATATCGGTTTAGTGTGTTGCCTACGCTCCGGGACTTGAAATTAATTTTTATATTGTTTATATTTTCAGCTTGGTACAGAGACCCTCCATGACGCCATGATTTACATCACATGTTTGCATGACGTATCCGAAATTTTGTTCATTTCTGTCGTAGTCCCGATTGCAAATTAGCAGGAGTGGCGAGTCGTATATTAAAGCTCTAGCGTCGTGTTGAACCGGTTCGGAAGGATTTTATAGGAGGAACGGAATGTTATTAATACATGTTATCGATGTAGAACGAATTCTATACAAGTCCATAAACATAGTGAACTAGAGGTTTAGTGATTTCGGCTAGCAGTAGAGGTGGCACTTTTTCTTTCGGTGATGTGATGAGTGTGCAGTTACCATACATTTATCTCATAAACAAAATAGTGACAGAACGTTACGTGATTCGGTTCTATGTAGACTTTTCGTTTCGGAAATATTGTGTTTAGTTAGAATTAGACATTCCCTGGTTTATTTTTGTGCAAGTGCTTGCTCGTAGCCTGTTGAACAGTCTTTGAAAAACTGACTAGTGACTCGTGAAAACTCAAATTAAAAGGTTAATCAGGGCGAATCGATTCCCTGTTTAACACCAAGTAAATGTCGGATACAAAAGGATTTTTCATCACCAATGCCAAGTGTTAGTTTTTTTGACAAACGTAAGTGTACATTTCATCCCCCTTTTTTTAAGGTGTTCCTGCTTCATGGAAATGGCGGTTTTGTACAATTTCTTTATGCCTGTAAACATCAAATGTACACATCTGCCGTAACTATATGTATGATCCCGAAATTATTTTATTTTTTGTCTAGGGTTTGTATTTAGCAGAAACCGAGGGATGCAGCAATATCAAGACTTGATAGTCATTTAGCCATTTAGTGGGTACATATATTTGGGCACTTACATTAAAATTTTATTTAATCTTTAAATCGAACAATTTAACAGAAATTAATTAAACCTAGTTGGTTCTTAAGTTTCATAAAATTACAGGGTTGATATTTCATCTAAAATAATATCGAGTAGATTTAAAATTGAGCTATTGAAATTATCACAAAGAAATGTTTTATTTATTTGGTTACAAAGTTTTTATGGTGATATTATATTATTTCTTCGATTATGTTAGTTTGTTAATTTTTTGAGTTGGAAAATACATCTATAGAAAAATTTTAAATTTCACAATATTCTATTTAAATTGTCGGTTACCCACCTAAGGTACCCTTGATATTCCCAGTTAGGTTAGAATAGTTTCATTATTATCCTCTTTTTACAAAAATAAAACCTCATTCGTAATATCTAGTCATATTACACTAAATAATCGTAAATAACAACAGTTTTTATGAGCGAGTTGCTTTCTTTCGTATTTAATTCGGTATTAATTTAAAATAACCATATTGTTGTATACCTATTACGGTTAATATGCTTACTTCCTTGGCTAGTTTGTAAACTCGGTGGATAGTATATTATAAACAGTACAAATGTCTTGTTTTGACGGATCTGAGTTTAAGGTAGAAGAAGTCTACACTCACAAATTATGAAATAGATGACAACGACAATACCTATTTTGTGAGTGTTGTCATAATCTTATAATTCTAAGCATATCTGTCAAATCAGACATTTGGACAGTTTGTATACTATCAAAAATCCAGCTAGTGTACAAACTAGCCACGTAAGTATTTTGACGGTAATATGCATATACACTAGTGGTCAGTTAAGAACGGAACATTGGAATATCCCGTTGGTGGCATCATATTTTGAAAATTATAACGTGGTACCTTAAAGTATTCTGAAAACTACCTTAAACTAACGAAACTGCCAGAACCTTTTGAACAAAGCTTAGTAACCCTTAAAAGCTTTAAGTTTTTATTATGAATAATAGAAAATAATTATCTGTTGCATTAGTGTAGTGTTTATGGGTGCCTGTTTGATTTTACAGATCAGAAAATGTTCCAAGATCTCACGTAAACTGTTCTTCTTTTGGGGGGCCTCAGGACGAAAACGCAAAATGCCCACAATGCTTTCAACATTAGAAGAGGAAGCCAGTAATTTCGACGGCTTCCCTTCGCACGTTGACACTACTGCAATTACTGTGGTACCCCCAAGTCCACCAAAAAAGCCGCTCAAAACATTTGCCGATATACAGATATTGGTCCATCAGGGCCGGAAGCAAGATGTTAAAAACATCATAAGAAACAACAACTGGCCCGTAAACGACCCGATAAGGGGACACCTTTGGCCAGTTTTATGTTCTCAGCACATGAACAATAGTAAATCCATGGATGGATTCTATTGGGACATGGTTAAACAAGTATTTGGAACCAATGAGCTGTCTGACAAACCTGTATCATTACCGCCTTTTGTCGAACCGTCTCATTGTCATTCGTACTTTTTGACTCATCGTGGAAGATGTATTGCTGACAGAGTTGTGTCTGTGCTCGGTTATTCCTGTCCTGACATTGTCTACAGCCCGACGATTTATCCAATCTGTGCCATCCTCCTTCACTTCATGTCAGGTAAGCTTTACTTTATTCTCTCATTGTTTCTGTTTACTTATATTATCCAAAAATAACCGATACTTCAAAGTATACTGTGGTGAAGGAATAATTAGAGTAAAAAAGAGAGATTCACCCTTATAAATCCTTTTCCTGCGGACACGTGCTTCTCCCACGTCTATCGGTCGTTAATTAGAAGTGAAAAGAAACACGAATTCACTGAGAAAAGTTTTAGTGGTTACTAAAATAAGTCTCGTTTTAGTTTATTTACCCCAACTTGTACAGTACCCAACATAATTTACTGTTAAATGATTGAGTCAAACTTTTTCGATGTTTTCGAGTGTTCTGCGCGTCCTTACAGACATATGTAGCTTTCATATATAGGGTGTCCCAGTTATAATAATTAATATTTATACCACAGACTCCTACGGGCATTTGGAACATAAAATGTTATAACACTTTTGACTTTTGAAACAAAATAAAAAATTATAAAATTATAACAGTTTCGATGCCGGCCCTGCACAATCGCAAATTAATTACGATTGCCAGCTGATCGTAGAAAAATTCACCTTCAGTAGGTCGGAATCAGCTGCTTTTTGGGGTGATGTTATTGTTTATGTTTGGTATTAAGTTACGGATCAGCCGAAGAAAATGCACTCGCGTTAAGGTCCATTAGATGACTGAAACACGTTAGAAAAACTATGTACCTATCACAATCGAAAATCCCATGATCGTAAACTGAAGTGGACCTAATGTAGTCCATGACGTCGAGTATTATGTTATTTTAAATAGAAAAGAAATTTTAACAACTACGGAATAGTTAGAAGCGGTGCACAAACAACCCTCACCACCCAGCGTTTGGTAAAGGTTTGTAACATAACGTACTAGTGTACGAAAACAAATGTATGTGTTATGGTTGTAAAAGTTGAGACAAGATGCAGACCTACTTTGACCATTCACATGTGTTAAACGTTACTTTTGCCTGGCAGGGCTCATTAACCCCACGTGGGGTAATACAAGGGTGTGTCCAGAAGGACCAATTTTGGTTATTTTGTTTTCATTAAATGTAAAAAGCTAAGTATTGATATAACCTCGTATAATTACACTGCTGGAAGTGACTCGAAAACAAGGCACATAATGTTGTAGATTCTAACAGGTTGTTCAGTTCGCTTTGGATTGTTGTGGAATTTACTTGTTTGTTAGTGTTAGTTTATTTATTTAGTGGTCATTTCATAAAAGACTATTACAATAAGGACAATTAGTAGTGTGATAGTGCATTCTAGTAGGGTTCTTATTCAACCGTCAGTTGGTGGTGAGTTACATTACCAATGCCTATCGTATAATTCGAAATATTCCCGGTATCTGGGCCAAAATTCGCAGCAACTGGGTACGTCGCTGTCAGTGTTGCATTGAAGCGAATGGCGGACAATTTAAACATTTTTTATAAAAGGTACGCATTTCTTTTTCACTTTTACCTTTTTTTTACAAGGTGGAAGTGCATTCGGCTTCTTCCCGGTAGGTACTTGTTACATCCACACTAGATCAGCTGAGCGACGTTAGTCGCCTAGATCCAGGCCCGTAATGAAACAAATTGTACGTTCAAATTTACAAAGACGATTTGCGAGCTCAATTGTCATTAGATTGAAAAATTGTATAACACTTTTTTGTTGTATTTTGTGTCAGGAAGCCATGGTTTTTTTTTTAATTATTATAAATGGGACACCCTGTATGTGTCCTCACTGCGCGCAGTTTCGTCACGCACCCGGAAGCCGTGTGTCCAATCGTCCCGCACACATTTAATAAACGTGTTAGCGGAGACCTTTAGTTTGGTGACAGGCGAGCATTAATTATAAATTAATTTTAATTAAATTTGGCAATTTACCAAAGGCTTACTGGGAAAGTAAGCTATTTAGGCATTTTTTTATGAAGGTGCAATGTTATCAGCCCACACTGAACACCTTACAACACTTAGATAACCCGCTAAAAATTTAAAAAATTCATTAATTAATCTTAGCAATAATTTNAATTTAGGTGCAATGTTATCAGCCCACACTGAACACTTTACAACACTTAGATAACCCGCTAAAAATTTAAAAAATTCATTAATTAATCTTAGCAATAATTTAATTTAATTAGGAAAATAACTTAAAAATTAAATTAAATGGAAACAGGTAAAGGAGACTACCGAAATTGGCCTGTAAAGAGTGACTGAGATAATACACAAATGGTATATGTTCTGTCGAATTTAAACTTAGCTAGTCAGTGTATTGAAGATGCTCTCAGTGATATGGTATCTTTTGGATATACTCAAACACTAACTCTCATACCAGTGCCACCATATAGAGATTTCGATAGTCACCTTTTAGTATAATTCGTAAAATGGATTAGGTAAGGAGGAACCGGAATAAGTAATTAGAATGTGAGCATAAAAATAATCTATATTAGATAATGTAATTGTTCATGGAACATACGCTTAACGGTAACTTATTAATACCCACTTTATTTTCTTTTGCTTAAAGAACTTTTTTAAATTTTTTGAATTTTAATAATGAAGATTATCCTAGCAAAACTTTTGTGATATTTGCTATTANAATAATCTATATTAGATAATGTAATTGTTCATGGAACATACGCTTAACGGTAACTTATTAATACCCACTTTATTTTCTTTTGCTTAAAGAACTTTTTTAAATTTTTTGAATTTTAATAATGAAGATTATCCTAGCAAAACTTTTGTGATATTTGCTATTATTTTATTCAGTTTTCACTTTATTATTTTTTTTTTAATTCTGTTTTTAGAGTTGCTTTTTCGTAATATTTTTAATCATTAATATTGAGAATTAGAAGTGTCTAATGAGGTGAATAATACTGTAACATGATTAGTTATAAATTCGTGATAACGGGTATAGTATTTTATTTCTCTCCTGAATTTAAAATAGCTACCTCTATCTTTACTTCGTTCCAGTTCCTCCTTATGCAAACTTACGCTCAACATCATTTATTTGAACTGCTACTACAGGACTTAAATAATATTTTTGAAAATTAAAAGGGAAGTAGTATTCTTGAATTTCTTGATTGGGATAGTAACTGATATTCCCTAAATGATCTTCATCAGCTGGTTTATTAGGGTGACAGTAAACCCATATTTTCTTCAAAGAAAACAGGAGGAGCTTTATTTTTTTAACTTTATCTGACATATTAAATAGAAAAACTAAATCGGACCTTTCTGTTTGTGGAAGCCTTTATTAGTTTTTTAAGTTCTTCTGGCATTTTATCAGGTAAAGCACCATAATATTTTGGTACCCAACCCGGATGCTATAACAGAAATCAGAATAAATAGTTTTCCTAAAAGATAGTGGTTAATTAACATACTTTGTTTAGTTTTAAATAAATACAGGGTGACTTTGAACCATAAGTTGGTTGAGCACATGGACCTAAAGCATCTCTTCTAAAGATGCAACTCTTATTGTGATCTTTAGGGTTTTCTTTTTCACAATCCACATAATTGTCTGCATTTTTTGAGACTGCATCGTCATAGACTGCATGAAATACGGTTTTTCATTTTTCAATAATATCGCGCAAACAAAAGTTTTGGAAATAATACAAGAAAAATGAAATTATTTGTCCAACATATAATATAATTCCCAAGAAAAAGGTGAGATATCCGGAAATTGTGGTTCAAAACGAAATAATGCTTATTATTCATTTTAACGCAATGGATTAAAGAAATAATTAGTTTTCGAAATCGTTATAATTAACAACTTGTTTATTGTTAGAATAACTACTGACATGAATAAAAGTCGCATGTGACTGCATTAAAACCGTACCTTCAAAAAAATCGTTAACTGTTTTCGAATGAACACTACTTTCAATACCATTATAATACCATATAAGGGGCATTTCAGGATATTTGTTAGGAAGAAAAGTAAATCCTACGAAAAAAAATTGTTATTGTTTATAATATAAAAATAATAATGAAATTACTGCTAATTAAAATCATTAGCGTAATAATAAATAACAGGAAGAAGTTGAATATAAATGAAAAAACTACGGCCGATAACACTATGAAAATGAAGTGGTTAATAAGTTTTTTAAAAAACGTTTTCTCTTTAGAAAATTTTACTCATTTTTGTGGCCCATTTTTGTACTCTCATCGACCATGGTCTATTTAAAAAAAATGGTATTAACTCACCAGGTGGATTTTCCATTAAATACTTGGTTTTTGGCATAAGGGGTACTGGAGATCTTTCAATCATGTACAGAGTAATTCCTAATATGAATGAAAATAAACAAGACACTCCTGTGATAAATAATACATAATAGCCAATAATTTTCACTATAAGAAGAAATTTTTTTACAAAAACCGAATATTTTGAAATAAGTATAAACAAAGGCTACTTAATTTTTAGTACCCCAACTAATTCCCGATCTGCCACATACATATTTAGTCTCTTTGTCATACAAATAATNACGTTAGTCGCCTAGATCCAGGCCCGTAATGAAACAAATTGTACGTTCAAATTTACAAAGACGATTTGCGAGCTCAATTGTCACTGGATTGAAAAATTGTATAACACTTTTTTGTTGTATTTTGTGTCAGGAAGCCATGGTTTTTTTTTTAATTATTATAAATGGGACACCCTGTATGTGTCCTCACTGCGCGCAGTTTCGTCACGCACCCGGAAGCCGTGTGTCCAATCGTCCCGCACACATTTAATAAACGTGTTAGCGGAGACCTTTAGTTTGGTGACAGGCGAGCATTAATTATAAATTAATTTTAATTAAATTTGGCAATTTACCAAAGGCTTACTGGGAAAGTAAGCTATTTAGGCATTTTTTTATGAAAATTAGACAGTAAAATAAATAAATAGAGTAGGCGTTTTCCAGCAAGTGCAACTTTAGGTACTTTTTGAAACGGAAAAGTAAGTACCTACATAATTTGGTTTTAATCGCTTGTTTATTGTTTCAATATTAATTTTCCCTAATTTGTCTAAAAATAAGCGAATCAAGGTGAATAACCAGATGTGATTCATTAATTTCAAACAATATGAGCTCATACGTACGTTACATGTATGTATGTTGCTATCTCACAGCGCGTAATAACGATCAATAAAGTTGTATACGCACGAAATGGATGTTAGGTTTTATCGTTTTGTTTTGACTAACTCTGTTATTTAATTTTTGTTGTTTCTACATTAAAATTAGCTACATTAACTCGTACAGGTAACAAAAAAAAACACTATTATTTAAATAAACACACGCCGTTATAACTACAACAGAATTTTTTTAAACTGCGGAAATTTAATTGTATATGCTCAACGTTAATAACAGTTGACTGCTATATATGTTGTTGCTTTACTAGATGTGGGAATGAAAAAACAAATCGACAGAATGAATACATGACTGTGGAAACCAAACATTCAATCGTTGAAAACTATTTTTAAATTATTTGATATTTTGCACAATGTATTTAGCAATCAACGAAACCATTCCCAACCTAACCAAACCTAAATCATATGACAATCAGAAAATCCTCTCTCATCATAACCTAACCTAAACCCAAGTCTATAGCATATCATACATGTCACCATAATTTATGGTAGATGCTAGTGCATTACGCGTAAATGGCACTTCACACAAGCCAATCAAAGAATCCTATCTCAGCAAGTAAACTTGAGCACTTCGCAATCGGGTAAAACCATTTCCATCATAATCTACTCTAAACCCGTAGTGCATAACACTTCTAACAAGCCAACCAAATTTAAATCTAAAGTGCATAGCAATTTTCACAAGCCAATCAGGAATTCTCGCTCATCATAACCTATTATAAGTCAGGCAGTTCCGGAACCTACCCTAACTTTCAGACAAGCCACTCATCCTTTATCACCACAATCCAACCTAAACCCCTAATTCTTGCAAGCCAATCAGGGAATTCTTTCTCATCATAACTTATCGTACGTCAGCTAATTTGAAAACCTAACGTAAATCAATTGTGGATAATACTCAGACAAACCAATCAGGAAACTTTTCTCCATAGCATTCTATCCTAAATCGTAAGTGCATAGCACCTCACACAAGCCAATGAGGAATTCCTCTTTTATCAAAACCTATTGTAAACCAGAAAAATATTAGACAAGCCAATCATCGTTTTCCACCACAATCCAACCTAAACCCTTAATTCTCACAAGCCAATTAAGGAATTCTTTCTCATCATAACTTATCGTGAATCAGCTAAATCCAGAACTTCCCCTAAACCCATAGCGTATAATACTGCAGATAAACCAATCAGGAAAGCCTTGTCTACCGTAACGTAACCTAAACCCTTTCTGCATAGCAACTCACACAAGGCAAGCAGGGAATCCTTTCTCATCCTACACTATTGTAAATTAGCAAATTCCATAACGTATCCTAAACCCATTCTGCAAGCAAGTACATCAAGAAAGCCTTTTCCACTACAACCCAACCTAACTCTTTTAGTACATAGTACTTCACACAAACCATTCAGGGAATCCGCTCTCATTTTAACCTATCGTAAGTCCAAGGTGCATAGCATTTCGTAATATGAATTAGGATTCCTTCAAACCAAAGCTAATGTATTTAGTTTGTTTCATTCTTTTGTTAGAAATATCAATATTTAACTAATTCCAGAATGTCCAATCGTCCGTTATCTCAGATATATATTTCCTTTATAAACCTTCCTGTTCTAAAAATAAGGCACTGTAAAACTAGCAACAATAGTAGCCTGGTGAAATCGACGCTAGAAGTAATTGTTTCCTTAGATAAATACACTCTTCTTTATNGCGTGACTTTCTGTAATACTTTATCAATTAAATGCATATGGAGGGAAATATTTAAATATTGTATTGCAAGTAGATAAAATAGGTTTGCAAAGTTAAGCATATCGGTTTAGTGTGTTGCCTACGCTCCGGGACTTGAAATTAATTTTTATATTGTTTATATTTTCAGCTTGGTACAGAGACCCTCCATGACGCCATGATTTACATCACATGTTTGCATGACGTATCCGAAATTTTGTTCATTTCTGTCGTAGTCCCGATTGCAAATTAGCAGGAGTGGCGAGTCGTATATTAAAGCTCTAGCGTCGTGTTGAACCGGTTCGGAAGGATTTTATAGGAGGAACGGAATGTTATTAATACATGTTATCGATGTAGAACGAATTCTATACAAGTCCATAAACATAGTGAACTAGAGGTTTAGTGATTTCGGCTAGCAGTAGAGGTGGCACTTTTTCTTTCGGTGATGTGATGAGTGTGCAGTTACCATACATTTATCTCATAAACAAAATAGTGACAGAACGTTACGTGATTCGGTTCTATGTAGACTTTTCGTTTCGGAAATATTGTGTTTAGTTAGAATTAGACATTCCCTGGTTTATTTTTGTGCAAGTGCTTGCTCGTAGCCTGTTGAACAGTCTTTGAAAAACTGACTAGTGACTCGTGAAAACTCAAATTAAAAGGTTAATCAGGGCGAATCGATTCCCTGTTTAACACCAAGTAAATGTCGGATACAAAAGGATTTTTCATCACCAATGCCAAGTGTTAGTTTTTTTGACAAACGTAAGTGTACATTTCATCCCCCTTTTTTTAAGGTGTTCCTGCTTCATGGAAATGGCGGTTTTGTACAATTTCTTTATGCCTGTAAACATCAAATGTACACATCTGCCGTAACTATATGTATGATCCCGAAATTATTTTATTTTTTGTCTAGGGTTTGTATTTAGCAGAAACCGAGGGATGCAGCAATATCAAGACTTGATAGTCATTTAGCCATTTAGTGGGTACATATATTTGGGCACTTACATTAAAATTTTATTTAATCTTTAAATCGAACAATTTAACAGAAATTAATTAAACCTAGTTGGTTCTTAAGTTTCATAAAATTACAGGGTTGATATTTCATCTAAAATAATATCGAGTAGATTTAAAATTGAGCTATTGAAATTATCACAAAGAAATGTTTTATTTATTTGGTTACAAAGTTTTTATGGTGATATTATATTATTTCTTCGATTATGTTAGTTTGTTAATTTTTTGAGTTGGAAAATACATCTATAGAAAAATTTTAAATTTCACAATATTCTATTTAAATTGTCGGTTACCCACCTAAGGTACCCTTGATATTCCCAGTTAGGTTAGAATAGTTTCATTATTATCCTCTTTTTACAAAAATAAAACCTCATTCGTAATATCTAGTCATATTACACTAAATAATCGTAAATAACAACAGTTTTTATGAGCGAGTTGCTTTCTTTCGTATTTAATTCGGTATTAATTTAAAATAACCATATTGTTGTATACCTATTACGGTTAATATGCTTACTTCCTTGGCTAGTTTGTAAACTCGGTGGATAGTATATTATAAACAGTACAAATGTCTTGTTTTGACAGATCTGAGTTTAAGGTAGAAGAAGTCTACACTCACAAATTATGAAATAGATGACAACGACAATACCTATTTTGTGAGTGTTGTCATAATCTTATAATTCTAAGCATATCTGTCAAATCAGACATTTGGACAGTTTGTATACTATCAAAAATCCAGCTAGTGTACAAACTAGCCACGTAAGTATTTTGACGGTAATATGCATATACACTAGTGGTCAGTTAAGAACGGAACATTGGAATATCCCGTTGGTGGCATCATATTTTGAAAATTATAACGTGGTACCTTAAAGTATTCTGAAAACTACCTTAAACTAACGAAACTGCCAGAACCTTTTGAACAAAGCTTAGTAACCCTTAAAAGCTTTAAGTTTTTATTATGGATAATAGAAAATAATTATCTGTTGCATTAGTGTAGTGTTTATGGGTGCCTGTTTGATTTTACAGATCAGAAAATGTTCCAAGATCTCACGTAAACTGTTCTTCTTTTGGGGGGCCTCAGGACGAAAACGCAAAATGCCCACAATGCTTTCAACATTAGAAGAGGAAGCCAGTAATTTCGACGGCTTCCCTTCGCACGTTGACACTACTGCAATTACTGTGGTACCCCCAAGTCCACCAAAAAAGCCGCTCAAAACATTTGCCGATATACAGATATTGGTCCATCAGGGCCGGAAGCAAGATGTTAAAAACATCATAAGAAACAACAACTGGCCCGTAAACGACCCGATAAGGGGACACCTTTGGCCAGTTTTATGTTCTCAGCACATGAACAATAGTAAATCCATGGATGGATTCTATTGGGACATGGTTAAACAAGTATTTGGAACCAATGAGCTGTCTGACAAACCTGTATCATTACCGCCTTTTGTCGAACCGTCTCATTGTCATTCGTACTTTTTGACTCATCGTGGAAGATGTATTGCTGACAGAGTTGTGTCTGTGCTCGGTTATTCCTGTCCTGACATTGTCTACAGCCCGACGATTTATCCAATCTGTGCCATCCTCCTTCACTTCATGTCAGGTAAGCTTTACTTTATTCTCTCATTGTTTCTGTTTACTTATATTATCCAAAAATAACCGATACTTCAAAGTATACTGTGGTGAAGGAATAATTAGAGTAAAAAAGAGAGATTCACCCTTATAAATCCTTTTCCTGCGGACACGTGCTTCTCCCACGTCTATCGGTCGTTAATTAGAAGTGAAAAGAAACACGAATTCACTGAGAAAAGTTTTAGTGGTTACTAAAATAAGTCTCGTTTTAGTTTATTTACCCCAACTTGTACAGTACCCAACATAATTTACTGTTAAATGATTGAGTCAAACTTTTTCGATGTTTTCGAGTGTTCTGCGCGTCCTTACAGACATATGTAGCTTTCATATATAGGGTGTCCCAGTTATAATAATTAATATTTATACCACAGACTCCTACGGGCATTTGGAACATAAAATGTTATAACACTTTTGANCCAGAACTTCCCCTAAACCCATAGCGTATAATACTGCAGATAAACCAATCAGGAAAGCCTTGTCTACCGTAACGTAACCTAAACCCTTTCTGCATAGCAACTCACACAAGGCAAGCAGGGAATCCTTTCTCATCCTACACTATTGTAAATTAGCAAATTCCATAACGTATCCTAAACCCATTCTGCAAGCAAGTACATCAAGAAAGCCTTTTCCACTACAACCCAACCTAACTCTTTTAGTACATAGTACTTCACACAAACCATTCAGGGAATCCGCTCTCATTTTAACCTATCGTAAGTCCAAGGTGCATAGCATTTCGTAATATGAATTAGGATTCCTTCAAACCAAAGCTAATGTATTTAGTTTGTTTCATTCTTTTGTTAGAAATATCAATATTTAACTAATTCCAGAATGTCCAATCGTCCGTTATCTCAGATATATATTTCCTTTATAAACCTTCCTGTTCTAAAAATAAGGCACTGTAAAACTAGCAACAATAGTAGCCTGGTGAAATCGACGCTAGAAGTAATTGTTTCCTTAGATAAATACACTCTTCTTTATTTAGTTTTGCATAAAAATTTACATATAGCATATTACTGTATAAACCAATAGTACATAGCATGTTACTGTATAAACCAATAGCACTACGCGGAAATTGATTTATAATTTTTATTATAATATTAATCTTTTACTTAAAGTTTTAACAATTTTAAATTCTTATAAAAATTTTTGATTAGTTTTTTATTCTCTTATTTTAATAAAAAAAAAGGTGCTACTCTAGAACAATGCTAAACGTGTCTTGTTTTGAAGACCAACATTTAGGTATTTTTAGTGCCTACATAAAATAATAATTGGCGAAACGACCTTCTAAAAGATTATTTTTAATTTTTAAAATAAGGAATATAAGTCTCCATTAGTATATCCAATAAAATATATGAAAAAGTCAAAAGTAATTTTATCATTTAACAAGTTATGTAAATCAATAGAGAAATATTTGAATATCTTGTTTTCATAGAATTGTGTGCTAATAAACTACAGTAATTGTAATGTTTTGACAGTAAGCACAATGTTTTCATAATTATATATGTGCTCTTTTGGTATAATACATCCACAGGGAGATTCATGGGGCAACTATAGATTCTCATCATAAATATCCAATTCAAATTCTTAGGTTTCTTTATACACTGACATCAAAAAAGTTCGAATAAAATTTACTTATATAAAGTAATATGTATGGTTGCTTATTATTTGGACAGTTTTGAAATACCAAAAAAGTGTTTTGTTGCGCATAGGTGTAGCAGTATTCACTGTTATTTCCTGTTATTACTGAAACGTCTAGGTAATTTTCGGTCATCAGGTTAATTAAGTAAAATTTATGACACTCATGTATGCGTGTGTGTAGGCGTTTGTGTAGTAGACCTGCGCGATTTTAAGTGCATATTCATTTCTTGGCTAATGTTTAATTATAAACATTTAGGAATAACCCACAGTCCTAACTTATTGTAGATACATGTTTTTCAACGATGCAACTTCTCCCAGACGAATTTTCCTTTCGAGGGCCAAAATATTTACATACCTATTTAGATATACAGGATGTTTTGATCTTAGAAAACGGTACATGCAATGATAAAATATCGAAAAGTGCGGAGGTTTTTTAATTTAAAAATAATTACTAATAAATAAAGAATTATTAGTCATTATTGTTGACGTGGAAAAACTGGAATTCCATAGTGACATAAATACAGCAAAGTTTAAGAAATATTTCAATGTTTTACCAATAAAAGCATAAAAAGCCTGTATCTGGAAAAGGAATCTTTCTGTATGATGGTTTTTAGGTTTTTATTTTCTTTAAAAATGTCTTCAGAATAACTATAAGATATCGTCATGCAACATCCTGTATTCAGGATGGACTAATTTTGACGTCTGCTCTTGGTAATTTAATAATTACAATCAAATTGGTCGCAGGACTCTTGTAATGTATATTAAAAGTGAGTGTTATTCAGTCAAAGAACACACCCTACATTATTATTCTATATTACACTCTTATAAAAAGTGTGTCACTTACTTTTTTTAATATTAATTTCATAAAACGGAGTCCAGTATCTTTCAATACTGACGCTGTTTCCAAATGTACTTCATGTCATTTTATTCTCATCCTACTAAGAACCGAAATTCAATTAAAAAAGTAATAAGCAATCGTCCAGCGATTTCACTTTCAAGAATAATTTCAGATCATCCACATACAGAAAAATTGAAAAATTAAATTTAAATCATGACAAATAGTATACAAATAACAACGGGCCTGGGAACTCCTGAGGCCACCAATATATCGAAGTAAAAATGTTGTATTTGGCATTCGTCGTCATCGGAAAACTAGCAATCAATGAAATTAACATGAACGCCAGGATAACTCAGGTTTTTTATGAATGATGATTGACGGTATCGAATCATTTTAATTCATTATTTACTCTGAAATTAGCAATTGTCACATAAACAAACCTTGCTTCGAACTTACTCCAAACTCCTGAAGTTCTAGTACTTGCAAAAAGTTTCACTTTATATATATTGACTATTTGAAAGCCAAAAGAAGCTTAAAAGTTTCCTTAGAGTTGTAATTATAGTGAAAAAATTTCATTCAAAAGNCCGTAACTATATGTATGATCCCGAAATTATTTTATTTTTTGTCTAGGGTTTGTATTTAGCAGAAACCGAGGGATGCAGCAATATCAAGACTTGATAGTCATTTAGCCATTTAGTGGGTACATATATTTGGGCACTTACATTAAAATTTTATTTAATCTTTAAATCGAACAATTTAACAGAAATTAATTAAACCTAGTTGGTTCTTAAGTTTCATAAAATTACAGGGTTGATATTTCATCTAAAATAATATCGAGTAGATTTAAAATTGAGCTATTGAAATTATCACAAAGAAATGTTTTATTTATTTGGTTACAAAGTTTTTATGGTGATATTATATTATTTCTTCGATTATGTTAGTTTGTTAATTTTTTGAGTTGGAAAATACATCTATAGAAAAATTTTAAATTTCACAATATTCTATTTAAATTGTCGGTTACCCACCTAAGGTACCCTTGATATTCCCAGTTAGGTTAGAATAGTTTCATTATTATCCTCTTTTTACAAAAATAAAACCTCATTCGTAATATCTAGTCATATTACACTAAATAATCGTAAATAACAACAGTTTTTATGAGCGAGTTGCTTTCTTTCGTATTTAATTCGGTATTAATTTAAAATAACCATATTGTTGTATACCTATTACGGTTAATATGCTTACTTCCTTGGCTAGTTTGTAAACTCGGTGGATAGTATATTATAAACAGTCCAAATGTCTTGTTTTGACGGATCTGAGTTTAAGGTAGAAGAAGTCTACACTCACAAATTATGAAATAGATGACAACGACAATACCTATTTTGTGAGTGTTGTCATAATCTTATAATTCTAAGCATATCTGTCAAATCAGACATTTGGACAGTTTGTATACTATCAAAAATCCAGCTAGTGTACAAACTAGCCACGTAAGTATTTTGACGGTAATATGCATATACACTAGTGGTCAGTTAAGAACGGAACATTGGAATATCCCGTTGGTGGCATCATATTTTGAAAATTATAACGTGGTACCTTAAAGTATTCTGAAAACTACCTTAAACTAACGAAACTGCCAGAACCTTTTGAACAAAGCTTAGTAACCCTTAAAAGCTTTAAGTTTTTATTATGGATAATAGAAAATAATTATCTGTTGCATTAGTGTAGTGTTTATGGGTGCCTGTTTGATTTTACAGATCAGAAAATGTTCCAAGATCTCACGTAAACTGTTCTTCTTTTGGGGGGCCTCAGGACGAAAACGCAAAATGCCCACAATGCTTTCAACATTAGAAGAGGAAGCCAGTAATTTNTAACCGACATTGTATATATTGTGTATTGTGTAAATAAAATTGTATATAAAACAAATCTACAGTCCATTACTTCTTCGAAGTGATTTCACCAAATTAGTAAACCGGCGGGATACCGCCATATCGAACAATATCCTCATCATCCGCCTATAACACCACATTTCGAACGCAAGTACCCGGCAAATTTTTAATTATATTGAAGGAATATATCTGCCGCAGCTCTTATTACATTAAAATAGTCTACAGGGGCGTCATTGCATGTAGAATTCAGGATTCACTGTAGCTACGGATTCCCATACCTCGGAAATCATAATTGTATTTTTTCAGGTACTTATTTGTAGATAGACAGAAGGAGATACAATCTCATAAATCCGATAGCTCGATAATTTAACAGATAAGAAATAAGCGAGGACATAAACAATATACTCATCAGGGCTTGTTCTGTCCTTGGTTCCTTTTTTCGTTTTGATATAATCCTACTAGGCTTGGAAAGGAACATAATAAACATGATGACGCCCTTGCACGTATGAAAAGAATGTTGGTATAATTCATATTTTCTATATTTCAAGAGTGTTCAATGTGCGTTTGCTTGTTTCAATCTCTCCTTTCTAGTTTGATTCGTAGATGACGTAA